ATTTCAGCTGTCTATGCCATTAAAAATATCATACTGAAATTGTAAATAAATATTAAAAAATTTTTTGAGTTACAGAATTCGAAATTGTGTTTAATCTACTCCATCATCCGTTTATCCTTAAACGAGTTTTTCGAATTTGTTGCAGTGATTACTCGGAGGAAAATAATCTGATCACTATCGAATTTTTCCTGCATGTTCAGTAAATAGTTCTCCATACAAAGAACAACCGAATTTCGGCAGGCCAAAAATGACCAAAATTTTGGGAAAATTCAATTTTAAATAGATAGGTCATGAATGTACGAACATTATCTGCTAGAGAGTTTTTTTTGTTTTTGAGTTTCATCCACGGTGAAAGTCGAGATCATTGTTGTAGTGAAAAAACTTTGTTTTTAGTATCGTCGGAGATTGCGTGTACATTGAAACATAATAATTTTTTTTTTTCAGAATTTTTTTTTATATTAAATATATATAAATATATTCTTAAAATTTTAAAATAATTGATGCAGTACTTTACTTTTAAAACTCGCCTTTTTAAGGCTGTCACATTATGAGTTTTGTTCATACAGCCTATTTGGATGACCTTCGCTTAGTTTTATTTATTCTTTTTAAATTTATGCAGTTTAATGAAGTAATAAAAAGTAAAGAGTGTCATTCATGATCAGAGAGTTCCTGAACTCCTTCGAATGGCGTATCCTCATATTTTAGTCAGCCTTAAACGCAATTTTCTTTCTTTGGTTTAGCCCGAAATCTTTCTAAATAAATAATTTCTAATATAACTCTACGTATTATTAAATAATTTGTATCACCACTAGACAAATTTAAGTTCACAAGATGTAGTCAGGGTTCTGTGATTAATTAATGAGCGATAGGAGGGTTTTCATTTCATAAGAAAAACTGCTGTGTAAAATGTTAAGTCAAAGCATAGCACTACTGAATGGCTACGAAGTTATATAGGTTATATCTCCAGCACGATCTTATAAATACTTTTATTAATACTACAGAAGATATTTTGAATTATACTGGTCTACAATAAAATGTCTTGACACAATATTTACGAATAAGTTAATACTAAAAGTTATTCAGGTTTATACATCACATACTCACGAAACTTTCAGGGATCAAAACCCTAGCAACACTTTCCTTTGGTTGTAGTTCAATTTCTCCCATTTTCACAATGTATTATAAGAATGCTGGAATAATATGATGAAAAAATATATATATATATGGGGTTTCACTTCAAAATGGACGGTGCTATTCCCGATTTCACTAATTTTCACACTGTCGGGGGTGGTGCAAGTTTGGTTACTATTGCTTTTGAGGGATGTGAGAGCACATTAAGTTTATAAGGGACCATGCGCATTTTTCCATTATTTTCAAACTACAGATGCCCCTGTGCAACCTTTCCTATGTGCCAATTAGGGTGGGTAAAAAAAAAAACGAATGTCTTTTTTTCGCTTCGTACTCTGGAAATTTGGAAGGCTCGCCAAGTATGAGCTCTTAATTGTAACGGCTAACGGTTTTATATTTTTTTCTCCTTATCAGATAGAACAAGAAAAAACGTTTACTTCGGTTGCACCGAAGCTATAATACCCTTCACAGATACAAAGGATCCTTACAATAACTTGATTCAGATCTAATTGCGTGAATCGGCAATAAAAAATAAAAATTTTTTCCATGCAGGTACTTTACTCCGATCGATCAGTTTCTATGACATATTGATTCGATCTAAACAATTTCTTCGGAGATTATATTCTTGCCTTAGAAAGTAACTCATGCCAAATTTCGTGAAGATATTACGTCAAATAAAAAAGTTTCCCATACAAGGACTTGCTTCCGATTGTTCAGTTTGTATGTCAGCTATATGCTATAGTGGTTCATTTATCGGCCGTGAAATGAGCAGCTTCTTAGTGAGAAAAGGAAAGGTACAAAATTTCATCGATCGATAGCTTAAAAACTGAGGGACTAGTTTGCATGTATACAGACGGACGGACAGACGGACATGGCTAAATCAACTGAGCTCATCATGTTGAAAATTAATATATACATTTTATAGGGTCTCCGACGTTTAATTCTGGGTGTTACAAACTTTGTGGCAAACTTAGTATACCCTGTTCAGGGTATAAAAAGTCATATCTCGCTTCCAACATAAATTTAAGAGAAAATTAGTTTTTTTCTTCTGAGTTATATACAATAATTCAACGAAAAAAATAATACAATAATTTTAAATTGCAAAGCTCATCGTCTTAAAGGAAATATCCTCCCCTACAAAAATGGTCTATTTTTTTTTTTTTTTTTTTTTTGTGGTTTTCTTTGATAGGCATTGATGTTTGAGGATGACTATTCGTTAACGCTTAACTTAATCGAGAAATTATACAAACCATTTTTGTAGAGCATTCCATTTCCCACAAAATCTATGAAAAAAAAATATGTTTGTAAGCAGTTGGAAGAGAGATATGAATTATTCTATCTGATAAAAAAAAAATCGAAAACCGTTAGCCGGAGCTCATTCCCGTTACAATTAAGAGCTCATACTTGGAGAGCCCTTTTTAGAGGTGTCTATTAACCAATTTTTCAGAGTATGAAGCGAAAGAAAACCATTTGAATTTTTTGACCCACCCTAGTGCCAATCTTAATTTTTACTCAAGTTATTGCTCGCATGGACAAGCGCACATGATGACAGACATTCATCCGGAAGTCAATTCGTCTCGTCATCCTGACCATTTATATATTTATGGTATACATACATAGTTCTATATCTATCTCGATTAGTTCTAGGTGTTACAAACAACCTTTAGGAGAACAAAACTTTTAAATTATCTGTTGCATGATGTTGTGAGAGTATAATGATGACATTTCAGATATTATTGAATCCGTTATTGTTTCTTAAATGCACGTTTTCGGAGCTTTTTAATTTTGACAATTTTAAAAAAGTTTTTGAATTAGAATTCGGCAGTAAAAAAATTGCCTTAGTCCTAAAAAGGTATAAGTTAAGTTAGTTTTATATAAACACTTGAAGAACCGGCTACTTGTTTGGGGGGCTAAGTAAGTACCTTTATATATTATATAATACTAATGAATATTGTGAAATTATTATTTACGAATAAAGACGAAAACATTATAAACGGCAAAAAATCCACGTGATTGAGATATCAATTGAAGTCACAATTTGGAAATTATTGATAAAAATGTTCATAGAATTGATATTAAGTAAAATATTTTTATTATGTATTTTAATATTTTAATAATCTTATATTTATGTTTGTAACAAATTAATAAGTTGATAATTGATAATATTCTATTAATCTTAATCTTAATGTTATGTAACATTTATAATCAATACATACTAATACTAGTCAGTATACTTCGCTAATCTATCTCTAAATAACAAGAATAGATTAGATGATTTTCCTACACATAAGCTGCTATATGTTAAATATAAGGGAATCAACTGACATCGTCATCCCGATCAATGTGATATACATATGTATATACATAAATCTCTAACTATCTTGATTAGCTTTAGGTGTTTTAATTTATTTATACCATCTGCTCAAAATTCACTCGGACTAACAAAAAACTTAATTTTCACGTATTTTAATACCAATCTTAATTATCGTCCTTAAATTGGTTGCTGATCCAATACAAGCATGTCAACGCTAAATTAAATTTTCCATATATTTGCTATAAGCCTCGGCTGAGATGGTCTTCAATAAATTTAGGATTTTTTGAGTTACGGGTCAGTAGCGCCATTCGCTAGATTGTTGAACCTTGTGAAGAAACACCCTTTGCTACCTCTAATTGACGTCGCTTTTGCAAAAGGTTCAGATATTTTCGTATGAGTCTAGCATTGATACGCTTAATACCCAAAACATTAACCAAAATATGCTGAGACAATCCATAAGAGACGTTGAGATCTACTGATATCTCTCCGATGGCAACACGATCATTTTCAAGCAGAGTTTCTTTAACTTTTTTTTCAATGACTTCACGACTTACACTGAATGTTTTGTGCAACTCAACTACTTGTTTTCGTGATAATGTAGACACTCCCAAACACTTCTGCAACATTTTCAATGATTCCGTAGCCGTGCTTCCATTGGAAATACAAAATTAAAAGCAAAATCGTTGTACAATTCTTTTCATGTAATTATAATTGACACATGAAGATCAAACTTCACGCGAACATAAAAAAAGGTTATACCGAAATTTTTTTATCGTTTCGGTTTGCACGCGCAGTTTATATGAATCAGTCCTAGTCAAATGTGATCAGCTAGTCTATACTTCATAGAGTTTCCGACGTTTCCTTTTGGGTATTACAAACATCGTGGCAGGTCATTTAAAAATTTCGAACTTTTCATTTGAAATCCTTGGAAATAATTCGATATTGCAGTTTTCTACCTTATTCAATTTTACAATAATAATGTACAAATTTTGGATAATATTTTATTCTATAATTTACACTTCTCCACACTAAACGAGTTTCGCTGCATTTAAATAGAAAACTGCACCACTGTCATTATTACCCAACGCACTGCATAAACATATCTACAACAATAAACACATACATATGTAAATATATTCGTACAAATGCACATATACGAGCAAGTGCCTGCAAACACCAACAACGGAAATGTACAAACGCGCAAATGACGAATATGAATCGGAAGTTGAAGCTGTTGACAGTAACAGAAACACGAACGCCTTGCCTCTGCGCCAGCATCCGTCGCTGTTAACTAACAGAACTGTACAAATACACAAAGTTTGCGCAAATATTGCTCCCCTATGGTTGTTGTTATTGCTGGAATAATTTGCTTTGCAATTGCCGGCTGTTGTTATAGTTGTTGTTGGCACACTTCGTGCGCATTGCTTGTTTTGAACGATGTCATCGGCAACAGCAACAGCAACAGCAAGAACTACAACAACAGCAGCAACATCCACAGCAGCTGTTCGCTCTGCAGGCGCTGCAGCATCCTCCGCAGTTGGCGTACGTTCAGTGCTTCAGTACCAATTCGGACGTCAGAGCAAACGGTAATCGGTCGGTAAATAAATAAAGTCAGTTTTCTTTACACATTTCAAGGAGTTGAAAGTGAAATCTTTGTCTTGCACGTGTAAATACAATTCGTCGTAAATTTAAATAAATGCAAATATTAAACATTTAATTTCTGCTTGCAAGAGTGGCGAGTACAATAAAAATGTAAAAGCGAGTTAAACTATTTGTGCAGTTATTGGTGTTCGGCAAGTAAAGCTGGCATTACATATTCGCTGCTGAAGTTTAGTTAAATAAGCAGCCATATACTTACATATATGTACCTCCATGCATACAAGTGCGTTTTCAATGTTTTTTTTTTTAATTAAACTAAGAAAAGTGTGAGGCATCGAAATAGCAAAAGAAGTTGAACGAAAAATTCTTCTTGAAGTGTCGCACTTGTTTAGAAGTGCCAGCGCAAAGGGGCGTCAAGACATTCGCGCCGCTGCGTTTCTTTCGCAGTCGCAGTGCGCTCGTGTGGGCGTCGTGCATGTTGATACGCGTGCATGCGTGCGGCGCTTTGTGATTTTCGCGCATTTTCGCCTTTGCCAAACTGTTGATTGTGATTTGTCACGATTCTGTATGTACATTCGCGCCGCGTTTGATACACTTGGCGGTGTTTAGGAAACTTCTTGTGTCACTGCTGTTATTATTAATTTAAACTCAGCTTATTTGAGATTTTGGTGGCTCATGGGTATTTCGCTTATTTTTGCTTGAATGAGGTGTGATTTTTTATAACAATAAATTCGCAAGTCATTCAGTGAATTAAGTGACAGAAGCAACGTGTTAACAAAAGGCGTGAGGATTTGAAATATTTTATGATTGAAGGTAAGTTGAAGGGATGATACATGAAAATATGAATAAGAATTTTTTTCATATAATATATACTTTTATGTATGAGAAAATGTGTCTCACTTTATAGCGAAGTAAAAAAAAGTATGTATACGGTGATATTGCAGCGTTGACTTGGGTTGCACCGGATATTATAGCTCACTTTCCAAATAGAAAAGTATGTATACAAGAACTTGATTTTGACCGGTAATTTGGTATAACAGCCGCATAATGTAGTGGCCCCATCTGAACAATTTTTTTTTGAAGATTGTAAGTTGCTTAAATCCATGCCAAATTTCGTTAAGATATCTTGTCAAATAAAATATTTTTCCATGCAAGGACTTCATTTAGATCGATCCGATCAGTTTGTATGATAGCTATATGCTATAGCAATCTTCTTGAGACGAAAAGAACGTCTGCCAAACTTTATCTCAAAACCTCAGACTTGCTCGTGTTTATAGAAGTAGTGGGATAGATAGGTGGACATTAAATAATAAACTAAGGAAAAAAAGATGAATATGGACAAAGTTTTATGTTATTTAATTTTCTGTTCCTCGAATTATATGGTACGCCCACTTTTCTGCTGAGCGACTTCCTCGTACTTGGCGAATAATTCGATCAAATGCAAAAATTCCCCGGAATCAAAAGTTATTATTTTCTTATAATAAAATTCCAGCTTTAGCGATAAGGCGTATGCTTACTATGCTGAATCTGAGAAAATAGTTGAGAACGAAGAATTCACACAAAAGCTCAAAGTCTGTATATTTCCTTTTAATCAAGTAAATCGATGTTGACTTAATTTAATTACAACTTATTGACAACATTAGATAATACGCAGATTATATAGCTAATCGTTGGGGTGATTTATTTGTATAAAAAAAATCGCTTTATTGAAATATTAGGGTGGTACTTAATAGAAAATGTCAAAAACAATCAGTTTTTATGAGTAATTACCGACACCGAGTGTGGCATTATAAGAGTGCTCACTGCAGCAAGCAGATGGTTAAGATAAAAAATCGATATTTTTTTGCTACTAGGTTTCTAAAAATACTCCGGAACCGGCTATATTAGGTTTGACACGAAGATTGTAACGCTCAGAAGGAACCCTCGATGACCATGTATATATAGTACATACATATATAAATGAACAGCTTGATAAACTGAGTCGATGTAGCCATGTCCGTCTGTACGAAATTTGATATATGTACAAGAATTCCTGTAGCTATAAATTAAAATAAAAGTTTTTTTTTACAATATATGTATATGTCTTTAGGTTAGACTGTGTGACAGTCCTTTGTGAAGCCAGATGAAAAAGAAATTCCTGTAGTTGGTTATCACAAATCTGTTAAGGTGCTTTATTTCTATTTCGCCATTCAATATGATATGACACAGGCGGGACTTACAGCACATACATACGTATAAATATTATCTTATAATGAATATTCATTCCAGCCTGGAGACTAGAGGATCCTCTTGGCCATTAAGCACTTTTTAAAATGATCTGACCAGAGGAAACCAACTAAATGCATTAATATCCGTTAAGCATACTACTATCATACTTAATAGTCTCTTAAGCCATTTATATTCAACAGTCTCTAGAGACATTGTTAATTATGTAATATAGGGTGCAAACCTATTGCCCACTCTGCTAATGAACTCTGACCTTTTCTACATTAAATCACTATTTTTATTATTTTTAATGCCGTAATCCCTCTTAATAACTTGCAAATCACCTTTATACAAAACACTTAATGACCGCCTACTGGAATGCCCTGCAATAACAATAAAAAACTTAAATCGCCTGCCACAAACAAACCGAAAGAAAGCAAAGAAACAAAAAAGGCAAATGAAAGTGAGTAAGCAAGCAACGAAATAAGTTAACAAGATGAAAAATTTACAACAATTGAAAAAAGTACATATAAAAGGGAAAAACTTGAAGTGGGCATTAAAATGAAATAAGGCATTAAGCAAGAAACGAGTTGAAAAGCAACAACAAGGCAACATAACGACATAGAATGTGAATAATAGAAGCGGCAGTGCAGTGAAATCCAGAAGTTGCCAAGCGGAGAAAGTAGCTGTGAACACTAAGTATGCCGGAAAATGAAATTTGTAAGCTACCAGTCTTCACTCACACTTACACACACACTCATTCTCTCTCAACACTCACTTTATTCATTCAATGAAAATGCTACGCGCCGATGCTTGAGCATTTAGCCAACCTTAAGCATTTTAATTGAAAAGTCACAGCATGTAATTAAAGAAAGGAGAAGCAGCGTTGACATGCTGACAAGCTTAATAAAGACAAAGCGTAATAAAATAAAATTAACAAAAGGAAAACATCAAAAATAATGCCAAATAAAATTTAAAGGCAAACGAAAGGATATTTCTATAAAACAGCGAGCGGAGAGTGTTGGTGGCTTAAATTTCACGGTAGAGCGAGTGCGTCGAAGACTGGTTGTCTGGCAAACAATATCTTTGTGATGTTACATATTTGCATATCAAGGCAGGTTAAGTCTAGTTATACCCTGTCGCGAAGTTCGTAATTCCCTGAAGGAAACGGCGGAGACTTTAAAAAGTATATATATATAATAGAACAGCGTAATGAGCTGAGTCGATTTCGCCATGTTTGTCTGTCTGTCCCTCTGTAAGGTTTTGAGATATTGATCTTACATTTTGCGTACAACCTTTCCTCTCAAAAAAGCTACTCATTTGTTGGAATCGCCGATATCATAGTTTATCAGTGTGTTCTTAAACATCCAAAACATACTCAGAGTATTAAGAGATTCTGGTATCTATATATAAATACGCTAAGTAATGTTTGTGAAAAAAAACACACATTGAAGTGAAAATAACCTTTGATATCATTCGTTTTATTTTGGTGAGTTAGAAATTTTTAGATTAATTTGAAGTGCATTGTGTAAAAGTTAACTTTTTGAAATTTTTTTACAACTTTCATTAGATTTTGTTCACAGTTTCTTCAATAGAATTTAAATACTATTAAAATTGTTAAAAAATTAAATTTTCTTTTGATCGATCATGATCCTTCATAAATCTGAGAACATCCTCAATGTATTGAGATTCAACTTCTATAAACCAGTTATTATTTTTCTCAGAAATAGTATTAGACCTTGAAGATCACTCTTCTGAATTTCACTATATGAAATCTTATTTAGCTGCACTTGGCGATCAGCTTAGAACACTGTATGTTAATATATATATATATTTTATTAACTATTTGTTTCTTCTCTTTCCTTATTCACAGCGTGTTCATCTAACGCCCAGCCGACTCCGCATGCTTTAAAAATTATTTATTTAGAAATATTAACTATTAAATATTGTACTTAAATTGTCTTAAGAGTATTTATTTTTCTGGTAAGCTTAAATGAAACCAACACTGAACAAAGCTACGAAGAAAACACACGAACAAACGGCTAAGAGATATTTCTTAAAAAGTTTTCCTTTAAATACTTATAGTAACTAGACTTCAAAGCTTTATTGCACAATTTCCTAACGTGTATATGTGTGTGTAGAGTGAAGTGTGTTAGTATCTCCCTTAAGTTTTCAACAGTTTCGACACATACACACAGACACACACACTCTCTCTCTCTCTCTGTTTCTTACTCAACTCACTTGATCTTTCCTTGTTTTCCTTGTAGTTGCTCATAATATAGCAGTTATCTGCATTTACTTCACCATTGTTTACATTAGTTTGTGATGAATTGAGTTGTTGCTTGGCGAGGGTCATGGAAACTTTGCGTATGCAGTTTGTTGTTCGCCTCTGCTGCATTCTAGTTGCACTTAGGGTGTGTCGTCTGTGCACCGCCTAGCCAAATGTTGCATTGCGTCAAGTGAGGGAGTTGCAATTTGTTTACAATCTGTGGCTATTGATGCATGGGATTAAAAGTAAATTGACTTAAGCTCTTCTAACAATTTGCTGCGAGAGGTTATTAAACTTTTAGTACTGTATAACTGTATAATGGCTAACAAAAGGAAGTAAAGCGTATTAAAAATAACGATATCCGTTACTCGTTAGATTGTTTCGAATAGCGTTAAGTCGTACTACTTTCCAGGATAAATGGCTATTATGCTCATGGAGAAATTTCTCACGAAAATTATACTTCAGCTTTGGGAAACTACAAAGTCATATAGCGCAGATCTTTTAGAACATGGCAAACGTGATATGAATGGAATATGAGCCGCACTGGTGACTATTAAAATTGAAAAGGGTTATCATAAGAACTCTAGTAGAAGTGCAAACAGGTTACTGTCTTATTGGCAGCCATGCCAGCATTCTAGGAACACCAAACAATGTCTATTGTAGGAGGTAGAAGAAGAGACTATGGAACATCTTCCATGCGAATTCAAGGCTTTGTATAGGAAAATAATCCCAACTATCGGTCGAGGGGTTTTTTGACTATCTATCGCAGGTTCCACAAATAAAACTTTCTGTATTAATGAACTTCATCAGGAGCACCTGGTCGTTCGGAGAGGACATAGTAGGCTGGTTGCGTCGTCAGATATCCACTCTACCTACCTGCCTATGCCCAACTTACAAGTACTATTAAAAAATCTTAGGTCGACTAAGGTTATTATTCCGAAAAATATATACTTTAGAACATATTGGGTCTATAATTCTATACTCGTGCATTTTTTCTTCAAAATTTGAACGTTTATTTGAGAAAAATATATACAACCATATTTCTGGAATATTGTGGAGAACATATTGGGTCTATAATTCTATATTCGTGCATTTTTTCTTCAAAATTTGAACGTTTTTAGAAAAACATATACAACCATATTTCTGGAAATTTGTGGATTCCGTCCGAGAACCACGCAAACTTCGTGCGTTTATCGGCAATCGCTCGCTTCAATGTGAGTTTATTTTTATTGGAATTGTTGTCGGTAGCGTTCTCCATTAATGGTTTCAACCGGTTTTAGAAGCTCGTAATATAGCACCCTCATCTAATGTCACCACATACGGAGCATTACCTTGGCGT